CAAAATTTGTATTTTCCAACTCCTAAATTTCTACAAAAAAAATAATGCATTCTTAAGGGAGTTAATCTGTCATCATAACATGGAGAGATTAAATGAGAAATGAGACAGTCGCACTCAATTTTACTCAGCTGGTTCCTAGTTATCGAATATTGAGTACTCCATTAGTCGTTGTTTCGCAACATACTAGGGCAACGGCGTGTTTCGCACGTCTCCATCTGACAGTAGTCGATAGCCCCATCGACTCTCGCTCATATATGCGATGTTGTTGATTTGTTGAATTGTGTATGTTTTTTAGCATAATTGCGAAGCGTACCTTTGAGAGCAGATTGAGGTTAGATATCGACTGATAATTGTGGATCAGTGACAATCAGTGTTTACGTTGTCCAGAATAGTTTGTGTTGTTTCGTTTGGTGTTGTCATCCAAGAAATAACTGTAATGGAGAATTGCTGTCTGAAGATAGTAGGTTCGGAGTGCTCAAATGAATTCAGAAACTTCATGGATCTAGATGATGTGGAACAAGTGCAATTGAAGTTCATTTTTCCCAATGCTGACAAATTTTGTGTGAAACATTTAAAAAAAAAACTTGAATTACTGGTGCAGAACGAGAGATCATGTTGCGACCCTCTACGTAAACATCAAAAAAGGATTACAAAACAATTGAGCCTCATCACGAAGGAGATGTACGATAGCTACAAATCAAGGATAAATCTCATACCTGGACGTAAGATCTGTCATAATTGTTTGTACACGCACATCCCCGAAGAATTTAGTGGAATTGATCCAGTGGAATCGACTCCATCGAGTGTTTCATCTGGTAGTTTGTTTTGTTCACCTGCTTTCGTACCTTCACAGAATGAGGTTGAAGATGCGCGAAATACCCTTCGTGCAGTTACCACTGCTTTGGAAATATCTCCCATTGATGATCATGACCGAAAAAACAAGGTAATATTCGCCTGTTTTGTTCTTATTTCCCTGTTTCTATCTCTATGGAATTCGCTCGACTAACTCGCTAATTCTAGGCCTATTTAAATGAAAAGTACACAGCAATCGATCAGGCAATTCGAAGAAGATTGCTAGTTGGAGAGCAGTATGAACCAGAACCAAGGCAAGAAGATATTGAAGCTCAGCATTATCGGGAAATGATGCAGCAATTGACAGAGAAAGTTGCAGTAGCAACATCAACAGAAAAATTCCTTGCAGTTTCTGTCTTGCCTGCCAGTTTGCCCGAAAGACAAGTACAAAATCTATTTGGTGTGACGCAGTCTTTCGTGAGAAATGTGAAAAAAACAGTCTTTGAGCGTGGTATACTTGTTTTACCTCCACCGAAGCAAGGAAAAACATTGAGTGAGGCCACATTGAAACTGGTAGAGGACTTTTATCATTCAGACGAGATTAGCAGACTCCAACCGGGAAAAAGAGACTGTATTTGGGTGAAGAAAGGTCACGAGAAAATCTCGGTAATGACGATATGAATTTTCTGGGTGAATCATCACTTCTTACATTCTTAAAATATTTTTTTCAATATTTCTCAGGTTCAAAAACGGTTGATGTTGAGCACTGTCGCAGAGAGCTATCAGGCCTTCAAGGAAGCCTATCCAGGTGAAAAAGTAGGTTCATCGAAGTTTCACAGCTTGCGACCAGAGCACTGTATCTTGCCCGATGCTGCTGGGGTTCATTCTGTGTGCGTCTGTGTCATTCACCAGAATGTGAAACTACTACTTAGTGCCCTGGATCTCAAGAGTTTGGATGATACTGGAGAGGGATGGTCGTATAAGGATATCCTAGCAAAAATGGTGTGTGACTCTCCAACGAACCAATGTCATATAGGTGAGAACTAGTCATCGTCAATCAAGATAGTTGCTTTGTTTCTCAATTAATTCTAATTTACTGTAATTTCCTTTCTTTCGAAGGACAATGCACTGATTGTCCAGGCTTCAAGCCCATCTTGACAAGAATTAATGACCTTCTAACAAGCAATTCAATATCCTCGGTTACGTATAAGCAGTGGATTCAAATTGACAGGTATTATAGTAAAAATAAAATCAATTTTCAGCGCTCTTATTGATTTTTGAGTAGCAATTTCAATCAACGATTTTTGGCAATGTGATTCATTGCAAACAAAATTGAACACTATTCTTTTTCAAACAGGAGCAACCTCGAAACAATCGTTAAAGAGAAATCACTGGTGCTAGAATCCCTAGGAGCATCATTGTCAAATCTTCTCCACCACGATTTCATCGCAAGACAACAGGCTCGATACGTGCAATTCATAAAGGAGAACTTAGAACCTGGTCAAGTGCTCGTCATGGGCGATTTTTCGGAGAACTACAACTTTATCGTTCAAGATGCAATCCAAGGATACCATTGGACAAAAGACCAGGCAACTGTCCATCCTTGGGTGTGCTACTATCGGAACGAATACTCCTCTGGTGAAGATTGTCAACATTTCAGCATAGTGATGCTGTCGAACTATTTGAAACACGACCTTGCTACCGTGGCTACGTTTCAAAAATATTTGATTAATTTTGTGAAGAGAAAAGTACCTTGCGTTCAAAAAATCATCTATTTTTCTGATGGAGCAGCGAGCCAATATAAGAACAAAAAGAATTTCCTCAACCTGTGCCTTCATGAACATGATCATGGAGTCCCTGCTGAGTGGCACTTTTTTGCGTCATATCATGGCAAATCTGCATGCGATGGCATTGGTGGGAGTTTTAAGCGTGCTGCTTCAAGGACAAGCTTACAGCGCCATGAAACAAATCAAATTGTCAATGTTCATGACTTGTACAATTGGGCTCAAGCAAGCTTGAGTAACATCTGTACAATTTTGATTTTGTCCGACGAAATTGAAGCAATGGATAAAAAATTACAACCACGTTTTATAAATGTTAAGAGTGCAGCTGGTACTCGCACATTCCATTCAATTCAACCTCTATCGACTGGTACCCTGCAAGCTAGAAAATTCTCTGCTTCTACTGAAAGTGAGACAATCAGATTAGCTGATGACATCATGACTATTCAATCAGTAAACTCTGAAGTAATTGTGGTGTTAGAAGGGAAATGGTGGCTGGCCTCGATCATTAGGAAAGAATTGGAGAATGACACATGCGAGGTAGCAGTCATGGAGCCATATGGTCCGGCTGATTCATACCAACCCATCGTAGGGAAAGCCAACATCATGATCAGTTTCAGCGAGATCTTATGTGAGATTAAGAAAGTGAAAAAAACGAAACATCACATTTATACAATTCCAAAGCTTGTTACAAACTATATACGACGTAAATTTCTAGAATATCAAATACAAATGGACGAGTAAGATGCAGAGTATGATTCTGTAGATTTTGTAAATAAAAGAACACGTATTATTGAAGGAATAACATAAGAAATGAGAACCTGGTATGAGTTAATTATGTAGTCAAGAAATTAATCACCCTATAACTCCGTAACTACTGCAAAAGAATGTCTACAACTTTTTGCGAGTATACTCTAAAATCAAGAGAAAATATGGTTAAAATTTTACATTTTAAAAAAATGAGGTTTTTGAGAAATATTTTTTTGAAAAAAAAAAACGTTTTACCGCATAACTCGGTTGAAAATGAACTTAGGCCCTTTCGCCAACGATTTTTTTGAAGATTTTTTCACGTATTTCAAGGCTATTAATTTCTTTCCCCTCGATTTTTTAAGCCAAATTGTAAAAAAAAAGTTTTCGAAAACATTTTTTTAAAACCGAAAAAACTATCAAAACTTCAAAAAGTCATAACTCCATTATCAATGGACATTAAGGGCTAAAAATTTGAGGGAATTTTTTTTTCATACCACTGATATTGAAAAAAAATCGGCAGCCAAATCCCTGACATCGAATTTTGTGCGTGCTTGATTTGACGTGGATCTGCCCATATTGAATTTCTCACGTAATCATTTCGGGCCCTGAAAAGTTGACTCGTTTACACTATTGCGTGTTTGTTGCGCGGTAGTGTTTTTAGGCCCAAAAAACATGAAAATGAGTAGAATAATCATTGCAATATTATGTAAATATTGAAAGATGACGAATTAGTTCAAATTCGTGACCTCCAGTGTATTTTTTTTTTCAATTTACTAGAATAGGTCACGCGCTTTCAGCGCGCCGTCAATGGGTTATTATAGTGTAGATTTTCAAAAAATGAGTCGGATTCGTATGAATTTGAAGTAATCTGAAAGCTCAAAATAATCCATGCATCGAATGTTCCCCTCGGAACTCTACAACTTGTGTTTCGAATATTTTTTCGTTACTTTCCCGCTTTAGGAGATATTTGGCTGCTGTATTTCAGATGAAACACCCTGTATATTTGAAATGAGTAGTTTGGTGACGTTTTTCGTTATGATGGTCACTTCGGCTATTAGCCCAGTCAATCTGGCACAATTTTTAGGGGTACCTTTAAAAAAGTTCCGATCGGATAAAAAAAATACCGTCTTGTTCAGAAAATTATGCTGAACAAAATAATGGACTGTACTATCTCTCAATTTGGCGGAAAATATTTTCAAATTAATTAAAAACTATTGACAATGGGCGCATTACTGGTAATATCACTGACCGTTTAATTCTCGTTCATTAGATCGAGATGAAAAAAATTTCGTTTTGTAGAGGGAAAAATTCTCTACATAATTGAAGTGCGAAGTAATACTCCACGATTCGTCTCTTTCCCGCAATTAAGGAACTTCCGCAGTAAGTATACTTGGTGAAAATTTCGAAATGGTATAAAGACGCAATATTTGGATCATATGTTGTTGAGCACATTCAAAAACTATTCCCAAAATTTCAAGTACCTTGTCCACCCCATTCTCGAGATATACATCGTCAAAAATGAAAAAAAAAACAAAAATTGAATGTTTGGCGATGCATATCTCAAAAATGGGGTGGACCAGGGACTTGAAATTTTCGGAATATATTTTTAATGTGGTCAACAACATATGATCCACATATTGCGTCTTTCTACCATTTCGAAATTTTCACCAAGTATACTTACTGCGGAAGTACCTTAATTGTTGACATTATGTCAACGCCAACATCCCATAGAAGCGCCATGCGCAGTCGAGTTGAATCTAGTCGAGCATAAAACATTGCATTTTCATTGAATATTGAGAATTTATCAAAAGATACGGATATTTATTTAAAAACATTTTCCGTAAAAAATTTCAGGAGCTATCTAAAAGGTCTTTATTCAAATTATTATATCTCTGTTAGATTCCAAGGTACAGGAGAAAAAATGATGATAAAGAGTAAATTAATGCATTTTCTTTTGCTAATTATGTTGAAATGTGTTGTAGACACACTATTTTTCTATAAATGCTATATCCGAAAATTAAAAAGAGTATCACTAGGGGATGGTCAAATTTTACGAGGACCCAACGTCCCAAGGCTCGCCAGAGGATTGCCAAATTTAACGATAATTAACGATAATTAACAATAAAACACCAAAAACAGACAGATATCTCTTTTCAATTGTCCACTAAATACTTCCATTTCCAAGAACATTTTTTCAATTATTTTATGAGTTTTGTTATTGTAATTCTCGTAACTTTAAAAACCTAATGAATATTTCCTCAATACCCCGATTTCTCAAATCCTTCATAAGTTCATACCAGCTCCTTACCTCCCTAAGTTCAACCTCCAAAGGTCATTCGTCACCTGAACTAACCAATTTCCCACTGTGGGCCGTTTAGTCGATAGGTTGTACCTGATCGTGCGTCAATTTAAGAGTCCCCGAGTTTTGATATATCAAATTTATGTTTTTTGGGTCGCTGATTCCGAATTTGTGAGTCTTTTTTTTGAAAAAATCCGGTGTTCTATTTATTATTAACAATTTAATTATTTAAACGATCATGTTACGAAAACACTTACAGGAAGAGAAAAAAGTTTCAAACAAAAAATGTTTAACATGTAAAAATACACATTTTTTGTTCCACTAACTGTTTTCCCTAACTATGATAGATAAAGCGTTATCAGGGGTGGGAGCGAAACGGGCGGTGTGTTAGCACTTGCACAAGGTGTCGATGTGTTCCGATGTGTTTATCGGCAAAATCGTTGGAGATAGAAAAAAAAATAGTTCAAATGAAAAATGTTCGCCATCAAATTTTATGAATCATTAGTTATTTGAAATTATTTTCTACACCTAGCCATTAATGAGTTATGAACACTCTTATGCTCTATGATGGACTAAATTTAATGCCTAAAGGAGGTTAGGCGGTGTTTGAGGTGAATTTGAGAGTGAATTTCTGTGGTTCCCGGTAGCTTAGTCGATAAGAGTGCCCGGTGCGTATCTGGGAGACCCGGGTTCGACTCCCGGCTGGGTGAAGCGGAAATTTTTTCTCTCTAAATTCTAATTCTCTTAGAGTTTTACCTACAACTTCATTGTTTATTTCAGTTTGGCGAGTAAGCGGTTGGAGACACGGGAAAAAAATCCCAAAAAATTGTTCCTTCTTAAAAATTGAATAGATTTGTCTTTTTGTCATTTCTCTAATATTGACAGAGATATAAGCCGTTAAGTAAGAGTGCAAACGATCGACGCGCTTACCGTCGATATTCGCGAAGAGGCTAATGCACCACCCGCTTTGCTCCCACCCCTGATAACTCTTTATCTATCAAAGTTAGGAAAAAAAGTTATAAAATAAAAAATCTGTATTTATACATATCAAACATCATTTGTTTGAAACATTTTTCTTCATCTAGAAGCGATTCCATGATATGATTATTTAAATAATTAAATTGCTAACAACTAATAGCGCTTCGAATTTTCCGAAAAAATAACGAACAAATTGGGGATCAGCGACTCAAAAATGGAGATTGTGTACCTCAAAACACACGGACTCCGAAATTTATACAGAAATAGCTTTTGCGTGTAGACTATATACGGACTAGTAAGCACGTGGACCCCCCGCGCTCCCACTTAACGGGCTATATCTCTGTCAGAAATGAAGATATGATAAAAAGACATACAATTAAATCTATCTATTTTTTAAGAAGGATCCATTTTTATGTGAATGTTATTTTCGTAACTCGAACCGCTTACTCGCCCAACTGTAATAAACAATACCATTGTAGGCAATTTACTCCGTCATGGAGCATAAGAGCGTTAATAACTCATTAACGGCTATGTACATGAAAAAATATAAAAAAAATAATAATGCGTAAAATTTGATGGCACATATTTTCTATTCGAACTATTTTTGTCTATCTCCAAAGATATTGTTCATAAATGCATCGGAACGCGCCAACACCTTGTGCAAGAACTAACGGGCCGCCAACCTTGCTCCCACCCCTGGTAGCTCTCTATCTATCATAATTAGGGAAAACAAGCAGTTGACCGAGCCTATTCGGGAGGAGACATTTGACCATTACTTTTTTCGTTAGTTAGAAGCAACTTGGAAGTATGTAATGTTTGATAATTTTATTTCTCATCAGATCGGGAATAGACACAAAATTTCGTTTTATTTCACTATTAGATTTTCTCTCATCTACAATTTTTTTCTTACTTCCAAAATTTTGCAACAAAATTTTTTCGATCAATCTTTTAATTCATCATGATAGTTATTTATTTAAACAAGCAGCAGAAGAAAGGAGTAAAAGATTGAAGAAAGCAGCAGAGCAAAAGGAGAAATGGGAACTGGAAAACACGGAGAGAATGAAGAGAGAAAATGACGAAATGGTAAAATCATGATATGAAGCGCTGTATACATACGAAATACCGCTGGTATCTCTACAAATTGATATCTCACCTATCCTGACAAACTTACCGGTGGAAGAACACATGATGATAATAAAGGAAGGAACGAAACTCGAACCCATTTTCAATAAAAACTTTCATTGTCACGAGAGGAAACGGCTGTCCACATTTCAAGATAATAATAATGATATTTCAATTTTCACACAGGCTAGAGCGCCCATACATATTGATTGATCTAGACAGAGGACACTGGGACGAGTATTGTGAAAAAAAGACACATTGAAATCGGTTGCGTAGTTTTTGAGACATAGCCCATAATAGGTTTTCAGGAAAAGTTGAATATCTCCGAAACTTCTGGACCGATTGAACCCAGCTTCAATACCAGTCCTCCCTATCACAAGGAGAAGATTCTGTCCAAATTTCAAGTTGATATTCCAATTTTTGCAAAGGCTAGAGTGCGTACAAAGTTTTTCATGAAAAAAGAAAATCGGGAATATCTCGAAAACTTAGTCTGGACGGCTATACGTGTCCCGCAACCGATCACTTTCCTCGGAAGGTATTGTAGAGGATGAAATTTGGGATCGAAAGTTCCTCTTCGGTTTTTCGATCAGACCATTTTGTTTTGCTTTTTCATTTTTCAACTTTGTTTGACTTTTTATTTTTGAACATTCTGTTACTACTTATTCCAGGGTCGAAAAATATTTTTTTAAAGGGTTCATATTTTTTGAAAAAAAACGCGTTTTTTGCTTCCGAAGGGAAGCACTGTTTTTGGTCGATTTTTCGATTTTCTAATTTTCATTGCAAATGATCTAGAACATCATGAAACATGAAGAAATGATGTTTTTAAGGTTGCGTCTGTATGTATGTATGTGCAAATTGTCTTTTTTGGGGGTTTATTTTTAGAAAATTCAACATAAATACGGTGAAGTTCGGAGATAAAAATCTGAAATTCTGTATCATGATAGCTATAAATGAGCCCCATTTTGGTGCTTCATTTCAGCTCGATCGATCAAGTAGTTCCCGAGATATAACCACTTGTTCAAATTGCGTTTTTGATCTATATCTCATCAACCACTGCACGGATTTCAACTTTTTTTTTTTTAATATTCGTCTCGATGGCCTCTATTCGGGGCGCCCATAATGCAGAGACCATCTTTGCAGTGCGTCGAGATATTGTGGTTTATCTGTTTTATCGTGGAAAATCTTGTGCGCACGATAACTCACTAAAAAATGTTGATAGCGACTTAAAATTTGGTGTGCTTATAGCTTTTGTGATATAGACGGATGGTGTTTTGGATGGACAAAATCGACCGAGCAGTTCGCGAGATATTCAATTTTTTGTAAATATGTATTTTGCCACATATCTCCTTTACGACTGGGCGGATTTATTTATTTATTTTTTTAAATATTCATCTCGATGGCAGCTATATAAATCAGTCAAAATTTACATACCGTTACCTATAAAGTTTCCGAGATATTCACGTTTTTCCGTTTTTTTTGTTCTCCTCATTCTCGTACAGCTGATAACTTGTGATAGAGGAACAATATCATCTCAAACTTTGGTATATATATCTCATATGATACCAAGAGTCTGTATTCCAAATGGGCGCTAGCGATAAATCAATTGGGGAGATATTTTTATTATCTTTTGAAAACTTAATTTCCTTGGGATGCTGGATATTTTCCTTTTCACCTCCTAGAAGGTATGAATGACCCCTACATCATTCAATGTGGTATAATATATTGAAATTGTTGGAAGAATTCATCGATCACGGAGGTTTTCATCGGACAATCGTTCGTCTGTGACAATATGGAGACCGGATTTTAGTTGAAGGTGTGATTTTAGTGGTTTGTGAAGGACAGCATTTTTTTGTCGATCAAGGTAAGTATGATATAAAGGAAGATCCAATCGACTGAAGTATTCGTGCAAAAAAATCATTAAATGGACTTTAAAGTCGACCTCAATAACAAATTTCATTTGTAAATGGCAAACTATTGTATGGCGTTATTCGCAGTGATTGATAACCAGTTTGAGCTTGAGAATGGACAGAAATGTAATTGTCCTCCTTTGTGGTACATTTTTTCTTGTCTCATGATATAGTGGATCAAGCCTAAATAGAGTGATTTAAGTATTATTGTTTTATTGTATCCTACTTCTTACTATCATTACACGTTTATCATTGAAATCTTCCTTCATTTTTACTCGGACTTAAGCTCCATTACTTCATTCAATTGTATGTCGCCATGGTAGCTAACTTGTCCAGTGCCATAAACATGCCATACATAATCTCGGTATTCTAGGTCAATAAATGCTTCTGATCTCCAGTTCTCCCTCGTAGTTGTTTTTTCCAGTACAGCGTTGTGGATATACATCAACTAAGGAATTAGTTATATACAT